GATTAACTTAAAAAAAAAAAAAAAAAACCTATGAAAATCTGCCATGGCTCTTCAATTCACTTAATTAGGATAAGGTGCACATAGTGATCTGAGGAGAGTATGTTCTTCCTTACGCCAAATCCCTCTAAAAACAAGGACCTCTAAAAAAAACTCACTGCCATTGAGTTGGATTCGACTCATAGTGACCTCTCTGTAGGTTCCTGAGGCAGTATCTGTATGGAAGAAGATTGCCCAACCTTCCTTCCAAGGAGTGGCTGGTGGGTTTGAACTGCCAGCCTTCTGGTTAGTAGTCAAATGCCTTAGGCACTATGCCACCAGAGCTCCTTAACAAGGACCACATATCCCTATTTGCCACCCTTTGATCAACAGTGCCTGTTGAGGATAAAAGGAGTTTCTTGCAGGCAAGTTGCCAAGACAAATATTAGATACTTGTAGTTTTTATGGGAAAATATACCTGTTAACCAGTGCCATAAATGGCATATTTATCAGCACTTATTTCTTCTATGTAAGTATTTCCTCTTATATATATAATTTGGTATTTATTCTTTCTAGAATCTTTTTAGGAGTTACTGTGCCAATGAGTATCACAATGCTATTGCTGTCTATTCTTGGTTGCTGATGAAAGCACTATACTCCACTCCACCTTCAGCACCTTCATTACACTTACCTGTGATAGTGTGAATGGAGTCAAGTGGAGATGTGCTCATCATGTTAATTCCAAATAAGAGTACATAACCAATTACTATAGTGATAAGGAGGTAGACAGGTAATGCCACTGCCCAATATCTGCAGAAGAGAATGTGACAGTAGGTAATATACACCCTAAAGTTATAATTCTGAAGAGTCACAAAGCTAACATTCTTTTTAAATTAAAATTATTTTTTGTTAAAATAATGCATGTATGAAGGCTTATAATGAAAAACCATAGCCTTGTATCCCACCCATCCCTGTCCTGGCATCAGACTCCCTAAAAGCAAATATTTTCAACAACTTAGCTGTTTCTTCTCTACATTTCTATATAATATGGTCCTACTATTATTATTTTTTTTTTCCCAATTTCTCTTGACGTTCTAACATGGAGTTGAGAGATTTATGTCTTTGATGCTCTGCTCTCACATTCCTCCTCTTACTGTATTTACATCACAATTTTTGGTTGTATCAGTGTTTTTTTTTTTTTTAATTAGGATTTGGGTGAAGA